GAAAATAAACAAATGTGACTACATCAAAATAAAAAGCTTCTGCACAGCAAAAGAAACCATCCACAGAACAATAAGAAAGCCCACTGCATGGGAGAACATATTTGCCAAAGAGTGGTTATTTCTAAGTAATGTTAAATGTGATTTTTCTTTTCTTAGACCTGATATTTTCCTTACCTTTTGCAACAGCATGGATGGACCTGGAGAGTATTATGCTAAATGAAATAAGCCAGTCAGAGAAAGACAAATACCATATGATTTCACTTATATGTGGAATCTAATGGGCAAACTAAAACAAAATATGAACAGATTCTTAGAGAACAGACTGACAGCTGTCAGAGGGGAGGTGGTTGGGAGCTGGATGAAAAGGGTGAAGGGATTAAGCAAAAAGAAATACTCATAGACACAGACAACCCTTTATGATGATTGCTAGAAGGAAATGGGTGAGAAGAGGTAGAAGAGGGTATAGAGGGGATAAATGGTGGTAGAAGACTTGACTTAGGGTGATGAACACATAATACAATATACAGATGATGTATTATAGAATTCCTGAAACCTATATAATTTTATTAACCAATATTACCCAAATAAATTCAATACATATTTAAAAATAATTAAGAAAAATATTTTAAAGTATACTATAATGAGCTTATTATTTTAATTTAACTTTTAATGAAATCAATGAACAGTTTAAAATCTCAAATATTATAATAGCATATATAAAAATATTAATTCCTTGCCTATTCACCCCTTTTCTTGTGCTTTAAACTTGTAACCAGTAAACTCCCTTCTAATCTTCTACAACCTCATCCCAATTTCTCTTTTTAAAAAATATATTTTTATTGATTTCAGAGAGGAAGGGAGAAGGATAGAGAGATAGAAACATCAATGATGAGAGAGAATCATTGATCGGCTGCCTCCTGCACACCCCGTACTGGGGATCAAGCCCAGAACCCAGGCATGTGCTTAGCCGGAATCTAACCTAGGACCCTTCAGTCCGCAGGCCAACACTCTACCCGCTGAGACAAACCAGCTAGAGCCCAATTTCTCTTTGTCATTTTAATATCTTGCTTTAGTCCCTCCCCAAACTAATTGGGGCTTCATCCAAGTTCTGTTGTTTTCTTTACTACATTTGTTTTGACCTTTGACGCTCATAATGCCATTTAGTGTTTCTCATTGTCACTTAGAATAACGTCTTCACCGTGCTCATCTTTGTAGGAACAACTTCCAGAAAGCCTTCCTTACTTCAGGAAATGCAGTCTCAAGTGCAGCACAAACACATTCAGATTTGATTGTGTCACACAGAACTCAGAACTTTGAGACAGAGCAAGCACCTCCTTCACCCTGCTGGCCTTGGCCTCTCTCCTTACTAGTCTAAATGTGTAACTTGACAAGGGAGATAAAGGGCTTTTCTTCAGAGTTTGGGTATTATCATTTAAAAAAAAAATTTTTTTTAATATATTTCTTTATTGATTTAAGAGAGAGGGAGGAAGAGATAGAAACATCAATGATGAGAGAGAATCATTGATTGGCTGCTTTCCACACGCCCCCTACTGGGGATCAAGCCTGCAACCCGGGCATGTGCCCTTGGCCGGAATCGAACCCGGTACCTTTCAGTCCGCAGGCCGACGCTCTATCCACTGAGCCAAACCGGCCAGGGCAGGTATTAATCATTTTTAAATAATCTGACACTGATTTCTTTTTTTAAAATGTTTTTAAATTGATTTTGGAGAAAGAGGAAGGAAGAGGGAGAGAGAGATAGAAACATCAATGAGAGAGAAACATCATCAATCGCTGCCTCCGGCAGGCCCCTAGTGGGGATTGAGCCTGCAGCCCGGGTATGTGCCCTGACCAGGTATCAAACCAGTGACCACTTGATGTATGAATGATGCTCACCCAACTGTGTCACACAGGCTGGACTTGACACTGATTTCTTAAGGATTCTGTTTCAAGAAGTTTCAAAAGTCAATGGGTATTTCACTCTCCACAGTTTTTTTTTTTTTTTTTTTTTTTTTTTTCGTATATTCTGTATTCCATTTGGGCCTGCACGTGAGGAAATAGTGTGTTTTCCTTGGCAGCTTCCATCTGAGCCCTAGCACAACTTATTGCAGGTAGATGTCTAAGTCTTGGACTAGTTCTGGGAAATCCACCAGGCTGTGTGTGCAGAGGTATTAATGGGAAAATGAAGAAGACAACCAGAGCCTAGGTTGCAAGTAGAAAAAATACAAACTTCTCACTGAAGTCACCCATTTGTGGGAACTCCATTTGAGGAGAGATGCAGTGGAGGCTAACAGGAGACACTTTCAGGCAGGTCAATTGTTCCCTGGGCAAAAGCTCTGGTGTAAAAGACCAGCTTCACCAGAGCCCAAGTCAGCTGTGGATCCTCAAGGATTGAGTTTGTAGCTTCAGTCTAAATTTGTCTTCAAATCCACCTCTACCCTGTTATCCCATTACATATGAAGTCAGCTTTATGTTCTTAAGTCTGTCTTGAAGTATCACTTCCCTACTCTCAAATCTTCAGAGGCCTTCTAAAATGTGCCTTTGATCTTTATTTCCAACCTCATTTCCTATGACTTCCAGCTGTACCTCCTCTTTCTCAAGCCTGCATGGTATAGCTCCCTCCCAACCTTCTCCCATTGTCCCCTTTATCTCTTCGCTCTGCATGGCTTGTCACAGGACCTGACTTCTGTCCCACGTTAGTTAGCTGTGTGATCTATATCAAATTATTCTTCCTCTCAGAGCCTCTATTTTCTTATCTACACTAATAAAAGAGAAACATGGTAATTAGCATACGACCGCTACCCTTCCCATTGGCTAATCAGCATATCCTTATGCAAATTAACTGTCAGCCAAGATGGCGGCCGGCAGCCATGCACTGAAGCGAACATGAGGCTTGCTTGCTTCAGTGACAGAGGACTCCAACGTTCCCCGCCTGCCTTGCCGGCCTCTCAGCTGGCAGTTTGAAACATTGTAACAAATACAGAAGCTAAACAAAACCCCAGAAACCAGCTTTCAGCCAGCCGGGATCTCAGAGCTGGAGTTATACATTGTTTTGATTATAGAACCCAAACAAACCAGATACCTGCTTTCAGCAGC